AGCTACAGTTTTGATAAATTTGAGAACTGAAATAATTGTTAAGATTTTCTCTTTGGAAAAAAAATGAGGTGAAATATAAAAAAATCCTTTGTCTTAAGAGTGGAAAATGAACTTTGAATGACATCTAGTGGTGGATTTGTGTACAGCACTATAACTTGCTTCCTGGCTGCTTGGTGACTCCTAACCTGGGAGAACAGCTGGCAATAAAGGAAAATATTTTGGCATACTTATCACCCTGACCTTCTTGGACTATAAACACCTACTGACCTTGGATTTTTAATCTCAAGAGCTAGTGGGAGAGAAGGAAAATTTAACTTTGGACTACACCTGGCTGGGAGAGACTTTTGAGCTGTTTTCAGGGAGGTTGAACATTTTGAACAATTTGAACATTGTGGGTTACAACCTTGCCTGACTGACAACTTTTGCGATACCTGAGATAAACGATCACTATAAAATATTGCTTTCAGGACTGGACCTATACTCTGGAACCTATGGGATTATAAAGGCTACACATAAAGACCAGAAAACTAGATGAAACTTTGATCTACTCTTACTGAGACTGGTAATACTAGAAGATCTCCAGGAATGATGCCTCAAGAAAAAACAAACACCTTTCAGAAGGAAATATATTCTATGCTATAATTAATTCACCAAACAATTTTTGCATACAAAGAGGACATAAAAAACATAATGAGACTAAAAACAATTTAGATAATATAAATGAGCAAATCTCCAAATTAAATTTACAACTAGAAACTCCCACGCAACGACTTCAAAGTATGAACAAACAAACCAGAAACTAGAAGACAAGCAGAGGGAACAAATTTAGAGATGGAAGAGATAAAAGAAGAAATATAAATAACCATATACAAACAAAATACTGCAAGATTTAGCCATAACAATGAAAATGCAAAAGACCCTTTACCCCTTAGGTCTGCAAAATACATCTGATGGCAAGGAAGAAGATTTTAAAAAATGAATATAGAGCTGTTAGGGGAAATGCCACAATTTGGGAGACAAGGAATGAAAAGAGAAACTGAGGGAGAAGGAAACTGGGAGTTGCTTAAGGAATATAAATGGGCAGAATTCTCCCCCCAAAATACCGAAATTGTCTTCCTCGTGCCAAGCAAATTTCACAAAAATAGAAAGAAAATTCCTGGGCGACTTAATTGCCCTGGCTTGGAAAGCTACTTGGCAAAGAAAGAAAGTGAGAGTTAGATTTTAAAAAAAGAAGATTTGACCTTTTAGAGGGGGCATTATATGTTTAAATATTTACGTGAATAAGACTAAAAGAACGGTTGACCCTTAGATACAATTAGATTTTTATAATGAAAGATATGATTTAAAATTAAAATAGCATTTTTTCTTTTTCTTTTTGAAATGGGAAATATGAAAATAAGAGGAGGATTGATATGAATAAAACTTTTAGCTATATAAATGTAATTCATATTGAGAAAACCATAACTGAGAAAGATATTTCAAATCAAATCCCAACAAGAGCACAAAAAACAGGATATTGATTTATGAATTGATATTATTGCATTTGTATGACATTAGTAAAATATGATGAAGATGTTTATATCTAACTTTGTATACACCAATAGTACCAAAAATTGTAACTGAGGGGAAAATGGAAAAAATATGTGGAAGAAAGGAGGATCAGGGAAAAAATACTGGATTCTGCAGTACTGAACAGACTTATATTGAAAAAATCAATGTTAAATATGTGAATCCAGACAACATTTAAAGATTGTAATTTTTAAAAATCAATAAACATTTTTTTAAAAAGAATGCAATATTATTATTATTATTTATTTATTTAATTTGTATCCCACCTTTATTCTTTTTTACAAACAACTCAAGATGGTAAACATACTCAATACACCTTTCTCCTCCTATTTGCCACACAACAACCCAGTGAGGTGAGTTGAGCTGAGGGAAACTGACTGGCCCAAAGTCACCCAGCTGGCTTTCATGGCTAAGACAAGACTTGAACTCATGGTCTCCCTCTTTCTACCCTGGGGCCTTAACCACTAAACCAAGCTGGCTCTAGATCACTCAATAATGGCATTTCCTTTCCCATGCCAGGTCAAGCTTATAAAGAAGTTTCAAAGTTGTTTTTTTTTTTTAACCAGGCTAATGTGTTTGAATGAAGTGATACCAAACAGAAAAATGAGGTCAATGTGGCTGGTGTTCAAGATAATTGGTGAATTCTAATTTCAACTTTTTCTGTCCTTTGCCCTGATTCTCAGTTCCTTTTACAGGTTCTTTATCACAGATAGTGAGTGTGTCCTCATCAGTGGGATTCAAGAACGAGCAGCTTCTGCCCTCCCACAGGCCAATTATCTGTTGGTGTCACAGCACCCTCTATGACTCATTCAGCCAACTCACCTTCCTTAATAATAGAATCAGAAAATGATGAAAATGTCAGCAAATGGTTCAGATAAACGCTTCTCTGAAAAATCAGAGTAGGCAACAAATCCCCAGGAGCAGGAATATGGGAATCTACAAGAAAGGGCAAGTCAACAAGAAATCTCTCTCTTGTCCCTTTAGCAGAATGCTCTATGAGCAGAGTTTTGTTTTCAGATAGTCTGGATCAGTTTTCCAGGCCCGTGGTGTGGTGTGGATTTGCCTGCAGATGTGGCCATGCCAAGCCGGGGGTGGGGGTGGGGGGGTGTTTGAGTCCCAATCCTGAGCTCTTCTTCCCTAATCAACCACCTTTCTTTTGTCTAGGCTGGAAATTAGAATACTAAACTGGGAAAAAATGCTGTGTAAGCAATGTGTTGTAACTTCAGCTGAAAAATGACTTTGTCAGCAACCTATCATAGGCTGATACTGGGGGTCTTCCAGTGTTAGGGAGACAATTTGGTTTAGTGGATAAGGCACTGGCTAGAAACCAGGAGACTGTGAGTTCTAGTCCTGTCTTATGCAATCACACTCACTCAGCCCACATTAATTAGGCTTTGAAGACAAGCCTGCCAGTCAGTTCCTATTGCGACCAATAGATCAGCGTTTGGTTGATCTGAAAAAAAAAAAAACAAAAAAAACAGACCCTGTACTTGCAAGGGAACAGAAGGAAAAATACTGGTGTTTTAAAATTTCACAGATTTAAAATTTAATTACAAACTGCTTTGTTGCTTTAGAAATTTCAGAGCTTCAGAATGTAAGAACTGCTTTACTGTTTCAAACTAAAGGATGCATGTTGAGTCTCTTCCTTTTCCATACATGAACATGGGAAGATCACAAACAGGACATATGGGAGGTTATCGCTGCCTTTTCTTTGTGCGCAAAACATGACAATAGGCTGTAATTGTTATAAGACAATAAGTTCCATGTTGAATTGCTTTAACAAGAATTGATATATAGGCAAAAGTTCCCAAAAATGAAACCTATAATTTTTCACTAAATAGAAAATACTCATCTTTTTTTTTTACTACTTTGGAATGACTCATTCTGCTTGAACTCCAGTGGCTGCTGAACCCAACAGATTAATTTTATCATTGTTGTGCAAATGTATTTCTCATCCCATCGCAGCCTTTTTACACAGAAGCAATCTTAACTGATCGAGGAACCAAAGTTCAGGGTACAGAGATGTATCTTTGAAGAGCCAAATAATGATTAGCACACATAGTTGAGATTACATTTGCGCTGCCTTCTGGTTTTCAAAGTGGTATTTCCTTTATTTTAAAATCTGAGACTTCATCTAGTCTCTGAATATTTAAGCTGAAAACAGAACCTATGAAGGATGCTCTCCTCTTTCCCTGATTTGAAATGCTGCACAGTAGGAATTTTAATTATTCAACATAATTGCCATGTTTCAGTTTGGGATGTTACTGTGTCATGATTCAGTATAATGTGATTGTTAAGGTGTTGAATTAGGACTGGGGGAATCAACCCAATCTTATTGGGTGTCTTTGAGACAATTCCTCTCTCTCAGCCTAATCTTGAGAAGATTTCATTTTGAACTCTCGGAGAAAAGGTGGATGTAACACTAACAAAGTATCTGGTATTGCTGGAGAATGGTCAACATTCTTTGGAACAAACATTTTTGCAATTAATATATATATCAAATATATAAATTGCGATAAAAACATTATTAAACCTTCATTCTTCCGCAGCAGAAGGATTGCTTTGATAAAGTGAATTCCACTCCAGTTCTCCGAATGTAAATAATTGCACCATCTCAAGTTAGATCAAGGACTTCTGGCAGTTAAGTCCCCAATCTTCATGGAACCAATAGCTAATAAAGCAGACCGCGAAAGGAGTGAAACAGCCCCGTTTGTTTCTCGCCCCTTCCGCAGCCACGGGCACGAGTGGGAAACGCCAATTGTGCACAGGAGAAAGTTCGAACGCGCGACCATTGGCTGCTCCATTATCTCTCGGCAGGGAACAGCACAGATGGCACCCACCCCAAGAGGAAGGTGTTCTCTTGCTCTGCCAGTCTCTCTCTCTCTCTCTCTCTCTCTCTCTCTCTCTCTCTCTCTCTCTCTCTCTCTCTCTCTCTCTCTCTCTCTCTCTCTCTCTCTCTCTCTCTCTGTCCGAGTGTGTGTGGCCATTCTACCTTACCCACGGTATGCTCAAGGCAGCGGCGCCTTAACTAGCCAAGAACCGCTTCTGCGGCTCTCTTGTGCAATGAGAGTCCTCCCCCACTACCACCACATCCTTAACGGGAAGAGACTCTTTGGACATCATGGCAACATCATGGGCACACATGCTTGTTACCTTCTTGCCACCTCTCCCCAGCAGGCACAAAACCTCAAAGGCGGCACAAGCAGCTCTGTTGCGTTTTATATTTGCCCCTCCCTTGCCCGTTATATGCCATTGCTCCTTTCCCACTCGGCTGCTCCTCTTCCCGTCCGGGATCTCCCCCGGGGGAACGTTTGGCTCCAACCACGCATCCACACAAACGCGCGCAGCCAGCGGGGACCGAACCCGCCCTTCCTCGCCGGCCTCGGCCCCTGGCCTCGCTTTGATCCCGCTCTTCTCTCCTTGCTCCGCAGGGCCGCCTTCCCTCCCCTGCGAGCTGGATCTCGGGACCAGGCGGCGGGCGCGGCTTCCAGGTGGGCGGGTGTCAGCCGCCGTCAAGGCGCTCCAAGCGGGAGAGCGCACGACTCGAAGCTGAGTGAGCCGGTGCAACCGCGGCTCTCCTGGAGATCACAACCGCGGACCATCATCCGCCGCCGCCACCACCTCCGCCACCATGCCTCCTCTGAAGGTCTGCATTATCGGATCCGGCAACTGGTGAGGATTACGGGCCGGGGAAGGGGGGTGGGAGAGGGCAGGGGGGCAGACCTGTTGAGAGCCCCCGCTTCCCCTGCTTTTGCCACTTCCAGGGAGCTCAGCTTGAGGTTTTCCGGGATGGGGGGGGGGGGACGGCGGAGAAGGATCGCCTCTGGTTTCTTTATGAAGCGAAGAGCGAGAAGTGATCCCAGCCTCCCTGTCAGGAGATCACAGGGAACGACGATGGTAGTCGCAAGTTTTGTAGGCGGCCAGTCCTCAGGCAGCGCTGGTCTCCCCTGGTATCATTACACATCTGAGAAAATAGCGACACCCTCCACACAATAATTCTGCCCTTCCCCCCCCTCCCCAGTTACCACATAGGAACACCGAGTAGTGTTTGGACAGCCTCCTCCGGGGGTCCAAGGAGGGTCTGTTGCAGTAAAATCATCCATGTTTTGTGGCATCTTAAGAACTACGGTAATACATTTATTAAGGCCTCTGCTTTCCTGGACAGGATGACTGACAGCTGTCTTTTGGGGGAAGAGGAAATATGGAAATGAAATGTAGGAAGTAGAGTGAGATATTAGCTAACTTAGAAAGTTATTTTGAGGATTCACCCATTCTCACCCACTCACACTGAGGTCCGTGAAAGCTTGTGCTGCTGCACGTTTTGGTTTTTAAGATATTCCAAGACTTCTGGTAGTTAAATTATTCTTTGAATACCTTTTATCTACTATTCCTCAAAACAGGGCACTCAGGAAATAAATGTTCTTTCTAGCCTGGTGATGAGCATGGGGTTTTTAAACTTATTTTGGAATATTTCATTAAAATATATAGCAGTGTCCACTTTTCCTTCACAAAAAAATTCAAGGACTTCCCTCATTTCTTCATAATTTTGTAAATTCAATAATCACGTGAGTTGAGTGAAACTGAAAAACAAGTATTTGACACAAGATCACTGGAAATTCAGTATAATTATATATATGATAATGATACATAAAGACACTAGACAGAGATGAATATTAGATTTCCTCTTAAGGGGTTTGCAAGGATTGGAACTGTATACCAGATAATACATCAAATATATTCTTAAACAATTTAAAGAGAAACCCAGAGGGAACTGGAATGTAATCTTAGCTGTCTTGTCATGACAACATTTTGATAAAACATCTCTTGCAAAAGTCAATCCACTCCAGATGATTTATGCAGGAGAAGGAGACATTGGTTCTGTTTTGGATTAAAGTGTTAGTCATCAAGCAACTTAAAATTTATAATTTAATTTACAATTTTTTAACAAAAGGACAGGCAAGGATGAAATAAAATAAGAAAAAAATGGACTGTACTAATAATCTAAGTCTCTTAAATATTAACCAGGCCCAAGCTTTCATAGCTTCTGAATCCAGAAGTATGCCTTCCTTCAAAAAAGGATTAGGAGGGATATGGTTGATTTGTTTTGGAGGGGGCTAAGTGTCAGCCACGATTTATATCATTTATTTCTTTATAACCTTATTGGTTAATTCTTAAAGTCAGCTTAAAGTGAGCTTTTGAAGTTAGCATCTTAATAGAAAAATAATAGAGGAGTTCTAGCATTAGACAGAGTGAGGCAACTTTCTCTGATATCTGCTTGTTAGCTGAAATTCCAGGTTCTAAAATAACTTGATTATACACTTTTCTGTCCCAGGCAACAAACTCCCCTGGGTTGACACTTATTGTATATGTTCAGATTATAATACCTGAGTTACAAGCTTGGACTCTAATAACGTTTACGCTGATCAGATCCATTTTTCTCTTCACTACCCCACCCTGCTTTTTTCATGAATAGTCTCTGTTAATCATCTTTCAGTTTACATAAAGCTTTACATTTCTATTATATAATAGAACAGCTTTGTTAACCAGACATCCAGTTTGGCCATTCTCCCAGAAATCCACATTCTGAAGGAATGTTTTGTTTTGCTTGAATGACTTATTCAGTCTTGAAGAACATCATGTAACTGTATGCATTATGGGTGGCTGAAGGCTTTTGCCCAGCAGTTGATAGAATTTCTTGATCTGATGATTGCATGTTCCAGTTTTCTCCAGTTTACCTGCTCCATGTTCTTCCAGTCTCAATATTGATACCAGCTGCAAAGTTTCCTTCTTCCTTCTTTGGGTCTTTTCTCTTAGAAGCAGATTTCAGTACAAATTGAAGAGGCCATCAGTGAAACCTCTAAAGCTGACAATCCTTTGGTACAGCAGACAAGATCCCATTTTAGAAGATTTTTAAAAGTTTCCTGAATGACAGAAACACACTGTTTATCATTGAGGTCATCAATAACAATGAAGAGAACTCTTGAGAATCTTTGCACAATCATCAGATCTGCAGAAGTGATTAGATTCTAGGAAAGTAAAGACAAGTTCTCCCTTGAGTCCAACAACTTCATTAACACAATGATGCAATTTCCCTACAATCTCCAAGCATTGGCCAGGCCTAGCTGTGCTTAGCTTCCAAGCCCATATAGCACCAAGCAGGTGCTGTCATCTACTAAAACTAAATTCTGGAATGTACTTCTTTTATTTTATTTTCCTTTTTTTACATTACAACAAACAAATTAAAATAAAAATACATTTTTTTCCTTAACAGTACTGTGTTATATATCTCATACATATTATTTACAATTATTTACATAAAATATCATACATTTTTATTTCTCTGCTCTAGCCAAACATAACATTTATTCCATATCTCGTAGAATTTTGTTGTTTCCTTGTTCTTTATTTCTAAAGTAAGCTTGTACATTTCTGCACATTCTAATATCTTATGAATGATCATCTCATTTGTTGGTATCTTTTCCGATTGCACGTACACAATGCAAGTCGCTGTTATGTGTACAATGATGTATTGGAGTTGTTTATTGATCTTTGGATTAATTAAACCTAATAAAAATAATTCGGGTTTATGTTCAATTTGTGTATTTGTTATCTCCTGTATCCATCTCCTTATCTGTCCCAAAAAATCTTTGCTTTGGGGCACTGCCACCACATATGGTAAAATGTTCTCTCCTTATTTTTGCATTTCCAGCAATCTGGATTCATATTTTTGTACATCTTAGCCAATCTTGCCGGTACTAAATGCCATCTATAGAACATTTTATATTGATTTTCCTTATATGCAGTTGACAATGTTAGTTTCCAATTTTTATTCCATACTCTTTCCCATTCTTCCAATTCTATATTCCGGCCCACATTTCTTGCCCATGCTATCATTGGCCCTTTTACTACTTCTTCTTCCAATTCTACCTCTAGTAGGTATTTGTAAGTTTTTGTTAGAAATTTTCCTTCTTTACCTGTCAGCATTTTATCCAATTGATGTGATACCCAGTTTATTCCATATTCTTTCATGTCTTTACTGTATTTTGACTGTATCTGTAGGTTTGGCCACCAATCAATAATTATTCCCTGTTCTTTTAAGTCTTCCCTTGATTTAAGATTTCCTTGGTTATCTAATAAATCTTTATATCTAATCATCTTTTTTTTTATCCAATGTGTTTGGATGAATCATTGCCTCCATCGGTGAGGCCCAGTTTAGGATTTTCATATAATGTTTCTTTTTAACCTTTTCCCATATCCAAATCAGCGCATCTCTTATCTGATACCGGTAGAAATATGTGTGTGTCTTCTTGTATTTTCCCCACAAGAAAGCATGCCAACTGGCCTGTAGATCATGTCATTCAATCATTAAAAGCCTTTTATTATCTAAATTTATCCAATCTCTAATCCAAAGTAACCCAGTTGCTTGGTAATAAGTTTCCCATTTTGGGAGCCCAAGGCGACCTCTACTTCTACTATCTTGTAGCATTTTGATATTTATTCATGCTTTTTACCCGACCAAATAAATTTGTTAATCATTTTGTCTAATTCTTCAAAAAAAAAATTCTCCAATTTTATTGGGACTATTTGAAATAAATATAATAATTTTGGTAATATATTCATTTTAATCACCAAAATCCTTCCTAATAATAATAATTGTAGTTTTCCCCAGACCTCTAGATCTTTTTTCATTTGTGATGTCAATTTTTTATAGTTACCCTCTTTTATTGAAGAACATCTTATAGTAAGCCAAATTCCTAAGTATTTAATCTTTTTTACAATTTGCAGTCCCAAGTCTTCTTCTAATTTCCTTTTCTGTTTTTCAGTTATATTTTTTACTAACTTTTAGTTTTTTCTCTATTAACTTTTAGTCCTGCCACTGTTCCATATTTTTCTATTTCATTCATTAGAATATTTCCTCTCTCTAGGGGTCCTCTATAAAGAAAACCAAATCATCCGCAAATGCCTGTGTCTTGTATTCTTCTGTCTTGACCTGTAGTCCTTTTATCTCTTTGTTAATTTTAATTCGGGTTAATAGCACTTCTAAAGTCAAAATAAAAAGTAGAGGTGACATTGGACATCCCTGTCTTACTCCTTTGCTTATTTCAAAATTTTTTGTATTGTCCCCATTAATTATCACTCTGGTCTTTTGTATCATGTGTATTGCCTTTATCATTTTCTCAAATTTCCCTCCAAATTTCATATCCTCAATTGTTGGAACATAAACTGCCAACTAAGATTGTCAAATGCTTTCTGGGCATCTAAAAATATTAGAGCCACCTGTTTTTCAGGGTTCGCTTCATAATATTCTAAGACATTTAACACCATTCTCGTGTTATTCCTAATTTGTCTTGTGAATAAAAAACCATTTTGATCTGAATGTATTATATCATTTAATATTAACTTCAATCTTTCCACAATTATAGTGATAAAAATTTTGTAGGCTTGTGTTCAACAAGATTGGTCTATAATTTTTTATCTGTTTGGGGTCTGTACCTTCTTTTGGGATAAGAGATATATTAGCTTCTGTCCAGGAGTCGGGTAATTTGGCTTTCTCCAACACATGATTGTACACTTCTAATAGTATCGTTTCAAAATCCTCATAAAGAGTCTTATATACCTCCCCTGGAAGTCCATCTGGCCCTGGGCTTTTATTATTTTTTTGTTTTTGCACT